TCCAACATCACGGCATGAACCGAAGCGATGCTTTGAACACCCCGTGGCAGCACAATGGTGACCTTACCAGAGCGCATGCCGCCCAAAGTCAAACAAAGTCAAAAAAAATCACAAAAGACTGTGGTGCAGGGAACTGCCAAGCCGCTATGTGCTCGTCGGCTCGCCGCTTGTGTGCGTCAGGTGCCTCCGAGTCTGACTCCGTCGGAAGATCCAAGGTGAGCAACGCTTTCCGCAGGACTTTCCGGACTGCGTCCGCCATCTGGGCCACCTGACTGCAGGGCTTGACATGCTTCATGCTTGAGACCCGCTCTCAGGCCTGCATGAAGGTGTAGCAGCCGTCCTGCATCTCCAAGCACACGCCATCAGGCTTTTCCAGGGCCGCGGTGGTCAACAGCTCACCCAGGTTCGTCTCGACTCCCGGCATGCAGCTGTATCCATCGATGTCTGTGGTGAGAGCCAATTCTTCAAGAGTCGGTGCCATGTCCTCGAAAGCCATCAGCCTCCGCTGTAAAAATATCTATACGCCAGCGAGGCTGTTTCAGCTCCAGAGAAGACAAAAGTGCTTGATGCAGATGGCTGCCAGAGAGCAACTTTGCACAAACTGGTCACCCCAAGAACAAGCTCCAACTGGAACTATCAAGGAACTGATAGATGAGTTGTGGGGTCCCAGGCGTGGCTCACAACCCCAAGGAAAGTTAGACCTGGAACCCAGGTTCGACGGCTCCCTTGCTGATCTTCGGACACCAGCCCCTCGGAGCGGCATGGGCGATGAACCGAGCATGTCGTCTTTTTTTTTGCAGCGTTGCACTTTGACTCCTCCATGCGGCCGCCATCTCTTCGGCACGTCTTGCCTTGGCATAGTGGCGGATGCGGAAGTTTGCGGGGAAGTAATTAGCACATCGCCCTTGTTTGCCGGCAAATCGTCTTAGTCCAGTGCTGAGATTGCCAATTGCGCGCACACCTGCCAGGGACGCTGTAAGCTGTCGTGTTCAAGCTACGGCTACATTGCGTTCAAGCTGTCGGCAGCTGATGACTGAGCTTGTTACATCCTGAACTCACCAAGTCCATGATATGGCCAAGTCAGCTGGGATGCATGTCGCATGCGTTGTCAAGCCTGCTCGACTTCTTTGCTTGGACCACGCCTGGCTTGCTGGCTGACATGCGACTACTGTCACCACAGTTGATCCGATTCCTCTTGCGGAACCACAAACTTGCCGAAAGGCGAAAGCCAGCAAACTCCGGCAACCAGCCTTTGGGCAGGAAGAAATGCCCGGTATAGGCTCTATACATGAGCAGGTATACGGTATGCCCTGAGCCGTGGGGCATCTCAAGCTCTGCCGCCGTGGGTGGAGCACCTGCCGCTCCCTGCAAGGGCCTCTGCAAGTGACGGTCAGAACCCCTCCCGCCCAACAGCCAACTACAAGGTTCAGCTACAGCCTGGCCCAGCCAGTCGGGGGTGGAGCCCCAATGCTGTCGCACTCGACTGCAGAAAGACCTGCAGAAGTGTCAGGCACTATCCGCTACTCTGTTTAACGACCTAAAGCAAAGGACGTCCGCCTGCAAGGAGGCTCCTTCGCAGTCGCGCTCGGCTGTGGGGCTCCTGATGGCAGCTTCATGCGATGTCTCGCCGGGGCGATCTGTTTTCGGAACGAGGCTGGTACCAGGGCATCGGGGTCACCAAGCAATTCTGCAAGGCTGCTCACAATGTCGGCCTTGCGTCCACTGAATTCCTAAAAGCTTCGGCATTTAGCTCTCACTGTGTCACCGGCCAACTCGCCAGCCGGTAGGATCCAAAGCGGGGCAACTCAGCAACTCTGTCGACTCGATTTTCTATCATCATAGTGATACGGTGTCCATTCAGCCAAAATCTTAGCAGCAAGCTTTTGTATTCTGATCTGAAAAATCCCGCTGCCCAAACACCAAAGCTCCGCCATTCTCAGCCGCGAACGACTGTCCGGTCCGATCCGCAAGAGTTCCTTCAGCCTCAAGGAAAGTAGTGGTTCGAGCGAATTTCTCTTGGACTGTGGGACTGGAAGGACTTAAAGCCTGCACACAGACAGTCGATTCGAAGTCGAGAAGCTGCACCACATTGTGACGTTTGCACGACAAGGACAATCATTTGAGGTTGCAGCTGTCGGCTTACAGCGCGTGCAGCTGTACCACCTGAAAGCTCCGAAAAGTATGTGAGTGACTCGGCAGCTTCGGCATGAACAGGCAAAGTGGCGCGATGCAGCCTTCACTAAGGCAAATCTTAGGCCTTAGGCTTCTCAACTACATTTACAAATCAATGAAGTATTGTTAGCAGACAAGGTAGTCAGTATAAGCAGACACGCTGCGCCAGCCTTGGTGAACCATTACACACTTCCCCCAGGACGCCTTCCGCACGGTCGGTGGAGCAACCTGCCAGCTGCAGATACCTGGCAGCACACAGCCACACAGATTTGCAGGCCGGCCCCACATAGGTGATTGGAAAAATGATGTCGTCTTGAGGGCTTCATCCAGCATTTCAGAAGCAAGATCTACGGAAAGTCGCGCAGCAACGGCAGCAGCGGCAGCAGCAGCAGCAGCAGCAATATTGAATTGGGAAACTGCCCAGGGCCTTCTACTTTCCTAATTCGGGGGAAAGAAAGCGCAGGACAGGAGATTCTGCGAAAGCACTCGGTAAATCTGCACTGCCTCGATGCCGCGCACCTATCTCGGACCAGCCACACGAATTCACATGCGTGAACTACGATGACCATGCGGCCATGTCGTCGCCAATCTTCGCCAAGCTGCGACAAGAGAGATCGTGGCCTCAATGGCTGTCGAGGTGGACATTATGTAGACAGTATCAGCGTTACAGATGCTGTTACTGGTACAAGTAACCTGGCGGTGGATGTGAAAATATTTCGGCAGCACGGGAGCGCTTATGCCTGCCTCTGAGCACCGTGCAATGCCATTGGCCGATGCTTGCGCAGCACGGAAACGACGTCTCTGCACAAGGTGCGCTCCTGCAAGAGCTCTTCTTCCTATTGACCGTTCGTGGCGGGCTATTGCTATTGAACTGCCCAGCTCACCACTGTCTTGCCAGCTAGGCCATGAGAATGACAATTCATACAACGTGCAACAACGGGGGAGTCGCCCGAACGGCGCATCACTTGCAAAGCCTCACAATGCGACCTGCAGTGGAGTAGCCTAAGCAAAGCCAAAAGAAGCAGCCCACGCTCCTCGAGACTTTGGAGCAGCGCTGGGCAGCTGAGGTGAGCCGCCGCCAAGGCTGAGGCAATGCGGGATGAAGCCACCAATGTCCTGGTAGCTCCAAGTAGACAAGGCTTAGGCACAGTTGGCCACTGCCTTTGCAAACATCTCCAACTGTGCGTAGTCTTGTCCATGCTAAGCCCAAGCACCTCTGCGCTTGAAGCGATGTGACACTTTGCGTTGTCGCAGTTCTTGCAGTGTGATTGCCTGGCAAAATGATGCGGGCTTCGAGCCTCCCCTAAAAGGCGAGAGCTGATGGAAAACATACAGGATCCCCTGCCTAGCTGCAGCAGCAACGGCTCGCGGCCTGAAAGCGTTGTCTGGAAAACTTGGATTCCAATTGTTTCCCCCACAAGTTGGAGGCGGCAGGCATGGCCTGGCAGTGTCTTGCCACTCTCAGAAGCAAGCGCCCTGGCCAGAGCCTCAGCCATGAATATGTCCCAAAGTTGTGCAAAAATGCTGCGTGCTACACTTGAACCCGTGCAGGTGCTGGGTTGCTCACCACGGATTGGTCCAGACTGAGCACGGGAGATACCCCTGCACTGTCCTCGAATTGACAACCCACCACCGACAGCTTATGAATCTGCCGAATGCACAGCATTGGAGATTTCAAGCATAAGGAGTCAGCAGTGGCACGATCTTGCAGCTTCGTGGGGGCAGCATTGCACTCAACCGCGCTACGTCCACTCAGTCTGGCGCTTTTGCAGAGCGAAATTTGCGCAGTGGTGCCTGGGGTCTGGGGTGAATCATGTCAGAGATCTACCGTAAGTCGTTTGCCTGACAACCCATGGCAACGGCCGAACGTGGATTGGCGTAGATATTACATGTTGGGTCTCTGGCAAAGGTCCCTTTGACAAGGTTCGGCTCAAAGCCGCCCAAGCGATACCTGGAATGGGGAGCAAGGCTGGCACTGTCGGCATCCTCAAACAGGAGCAATGGGCACCTTCGAAGCCGACGAAACAATGAGGCCTGCTGTGCTTGTATGGTGGCCTGAGTGTCATCTTAAATCAAACTTCAACTTCAGCAAAAGCGTTTTCTTGGCACTGATAAATTGCTGAAACCAGCGCGAGCCGCAGCTGAGTGCCGGACACGGACCTTGTATGCCTGACATTGAGTCACATCAACTGCTGCGTGTCCAAAACGCAACAAAAACAGCAGCGGTTGAAGTTGCGACGGGCAGAAGGAAGAGCAGAATCTACCAAAGCGATGGCACGGTCAGTGACTCACCACCACCATGACAACAACAACCGCGACCTGCTCCTACTCCTTTTCATCATCATCATCCTCCTCCTCCTGACAACCACCGTCAGAATTACTGCTATCACCATCAAATGATTTGATTCAAATCCTCACCCACGCCATCGTCAGCATTAGTATGAGCATGATCCTTGACTCAACCTCAATATTCCTCTTTCTGCTCATGGTCCTCTTCCTCCTTACATAACTCTTCTGAATTTGTCCAGTTCGCCTCCAACCCCATCACCGCCATCGTGCTTGTCATGACCAGGGCCATTCTCGCCATTGTCACTCTCACAACCATCACCATCACACTCAGCAGCGTCATCATCATCGTCATCATCTCCTCATCAGCATCACTCTTGTACAGGCCACTCACCGCTGCCACTGCCCCAAAGCCCACAGCCAGCTCGAGCCGAAACCCTCCATCGCCATCACAGTCACCAACACCATTGGACAAGCAGAACGAGTATCTCCGCTACCACTAGCAGTGCATGCAAGTGCCATGCTCATGGAGATGGAGGTGCAATGCTACTGCCACCGGGAGGAAGATGGTCTTGCTGCCATGGCATCTGATGTTGACTGGACTCTAAGACGACATCGATGAGAGTCAAACCCAGATCTTCAAATAACTAACCTCCAATCACCTCGTAAAATGCCTCGCATCACGTCACGTCTAGAGTTGCCTGCAGCACCCGCAACGTCGGACCTTGTGGAAGCATTACACAGCAAACGCAGTTGCACCTTGTGGGGCTGATCGGATGGATCTGCATGCCAAGGGCGTCTCTTGCGACGCCTCAAACCAACAGGTGGCCATTCAAAGCATTAGCTGTTTTTGAAAAAGCAGCAAAAGATACGACAGTGCTGAAGAACGGGCGTGTCAGCGAAAGGCGCCACCGTGGACCCGTCCAACTGGACAAACAGGTTGCCAAATTCAAAGAAGGTCACTGAGAACTGCTTCGCGCATCACGTTTGCTGTGCACACTGTTGTCCCTCGGTGCCTCCGATCCCAGGTTCGAGTGACTCTGTTTCTGGCTGTAGGAAACTTGCAGCACATTATTCGCCATCGCTAGCAGCAACAGATGGCTGTTGACACCATTCCGTCTATGCCTGAAGGCTGCGTTGCTAATCTTGTCTGCATGATGACCGATGTAGCGCTGCGGATGCTTCTGCATCCTATTCCTGTAACAGCCACTGCAAGGCTTCGTGTGCTTCAAGCTTTGACCGGTCACATCTGGTTTTTCGCATTTTCGCCTGCTTTACACAGTACAAGCCAAAGCCAGCACGCCAATCGCTCGGGCGCGGCCGACTCCGCCTCCGCCGTGACTGGACGGGTTCAGTCCGCTGGGGCGCATCAGGAACCACCAGAAGTTGCTGGGTTTCTTTGCACGGATTCTTACGAGCTTGGCCTTGGTTGTATAGGCCTGAGTCGATATGAACAAGCCATGCTCGTGGAGGAGCACCACGGCACGAATGCAATGAGACGCATCTTTTTCGGTGTTGTTGGCGGCCTGCTACGTTTGCCATGTGCAGACTTCCTGTCTCGCATCTCTGTATTGCTTTTCGCCCCTCACGCGACATGTTCGACATGCACCCTCCGTGCACTGCGACGAAACATGCTCTCAGTCGTGCCGCACCGCTTATGACACCTCCTCACCCAGTCCTACTCCCCGGCCAGCGGTGCAGCTGATAACACCTTCAGCATTGCTGTCTTCAGCGTTGTCAAAGGTGCAGCATCCGGCACGACGATTTCACACGCGGGGAAGGTTCACGTGAAGCTGGCCAGGTCTTGGTCTGACAATCCGAAGCCTGGGACTACCCTCAAGCTGTCTGCTTGAACTAAGCCGCGCCTTCATCTCTCCCTCCAGTCTACGCAATCTCCTCAGTATCCTCACATTGGCCGGGTGCCTCCACAGCCGGCGCGAGTGGCTCAGTCTAGACAGGACCAATTGGTCGTCACAGTGCAATGTCTCAGCCGACTGCATCATGTCGGTGCTCCAGGATTTGGCATTCGCGTCGCAGTGATTGGTTTCCCACTGAAACTGTACACTGTACATCACAACTGCTTTGGCTGCACAGGGCAGCAGGGCGCTTGAGCGGAGCGGTGAAGGCGGAGCGGAGCGGCGCTAGGACCGCTAGGAGATGCGCCAAGGAGGCGCCCAGGCCAAGGCCAAGTCACTCGCGCACGGAAGACCTCGAGCGAGGCCCACGAGGCCGGGACGGGCTTGGCCGGGAACCAACAAGCAACTCTAATTACGCCTCTACTTTTTTTGGAGGCGGATCCAAAAACGATTCAGGAACGCGAGGATGAGGACGATGATGATGGTGATAAGTGATAATGTTGATGATAAAGATGCCGCTGCTGACGACGATGGTGACGACGATTTCTACAGCATTCGCTGTTGTCGATGTTGGCTGTATTTGGCTGTATTGTTACTACGACTCAACACGCAGAATCACGGAGAGCTCTGAAGACTTTTGGTCCGGCACCAGTCCACGCTCCTCCGACAGCAAGGGCACCTGGTCACCAAAAGGCTTTGAAAGGCTTGATAGTGGCCCACAAGATCGCAACGTTTGCTGTTGGCCACGGAAGCAGCAACAGCGGCAGAAACACTGGCAATTGCAGTTGTCATATAAGAAGCGAGCACACAGACTGTCAGAATGCCCAATCAAATCTGGAAAAAAACCAGTCACCAGCGCGTAGAAATTCAAAGCAGCAAGATTGAAGTAGTAAGCGGAATGTCGCAGAGAAAGAAAAGGCAGAAAGCGAAAAGCAGTGCAAGATCACGCACCAGAATAGAAACGCGATCAATAGGACTGTGAGATCTACACTAAAGTTGAAGCGCACAGTCCATACTGGAATCGATAAACGATATGGTCACACTAAACCCCAAAAAACCCTAAAGCTGCAAAGGCGAGAATCCGAAACCCTGCTCCTCTTCCTCTACCAACAAGAACCGACTGTTCCAGGTCGCCTTATCATTGGACTTAACATGCCGATGACAGGTCCAATTCTCTCCAGTGAGATGTGCGATTCGGCCTGCCGTCAGTATCCATTAGCTGCTGGGCACCTCACAAATTCTGAGAGACTGGAGTGCATAGTCGGTACTGTGATTGTCGCTGGTTGCGCAAACTTGAGAGCCTCTTCTAATAGCGGCGTGGTGGCAGGCTAGGTGGGAGCATCGCAACAGAGAAGCCCAATTGCAGCCTACTTTAGTGGCCCGGATGCACTCTTGCCGCCCAGCTGAAAACCATTTGGTGTTGGGAGGGTCATGGTCCTTCACCGAAGGTTAGGTTGTTTCAGCTCATACCTCGCCACGAGGTGCTGTCAGTTTCTGCGCTGCAGATTGTTCCCGCAACGCGTCCCTAGTACAAAGTACCAAGTCCCCGATTGGTGCAGCCAGGGTGCAGGCACGATGGAAGACGTGTCTGCAGTCTGGCAGCTCCACCACCTGTCAGCCGAGCGGGATGAACCGGCACCAGCAATGTTACAAGCTGGACGACTTGCACGGCGCAGGCTGCTGGCACGTGCCCTGCAATTCTGGAAGCCATTGCAAAGCGAATCCTTTCTGCGTGCGTATATGTATGTGTATGTGTATCTGTTTGTGTATGTATATATATATATATGCCCATACGCACACACTGTATCTGTTCAGCCAAGTTGCTGGCATTTGTGGCGAAGCTGAAAACTCGATCAAGCAAAGCATGCATTCATCTTGGTCCCGCTCGGTTCGCACCGGCACCGCCTCCAGTGCAAAGCAAGATCATGCTACCGCAAGCAGCCAGACCTGAATGTCCCTGAACTGTGGGACAGAGGGCCTCTCTTGAATCTCTTGATAAAGACTTCCAGATTTCCATCACAACCCGCCTCATTTTAAAGCCAATCCAGCGCTGCTGCGCCTCTTCCAGGCGCCTGCGGAGCTCGTCGCTGTGGACCCCGCGGCGCCGCACCAAGCGCCGTTTGCGCAGGCGAGGGTCCTCCCGTGAGTCTCGTGCAGTCTACGCAGAGTCTCTGGCTCTTACGTGGGAGTCCTTCTGCTGGGCAAAGCCTTTTTCTGGACCGAAAACAATTTGGTACTGACCTCGGCCCATGCCGCCTCTGTCCCTTCCATGTCCGGGCACAGGCTGTTGAGCAGACATGGACATGCGCATAAGTGCCGACGGGGTTGCGTACTCCGACTGTGATGTCTACCTGCACGGCGCAAGTTCGCTTCCTGTAGTGAGCCGGCATCTATTTCTTCCCGCCTGCTCGTGTCCGGCACGATAAGCCGCTTCTATGGCAGTGTTCTGCTCTTCACCTTGGGCTGCAGAGACACCAAAGCCCAGGCGAGAGAGCTTGAGATGATTAAGTTACAGTTACAGGTGGCAAAGCGAGTGTTAAAACAGTGGGCCAAGTTCTGCGATCATGCAACGGGTCTGGAATACTAGAAGCTGCCAAAGCTCATGCAGTTCAACCACGGTACAAAAGTTCGTAACTTTCTGCAGAAAAGTCGCCATAGAGCCCCCACTCAGTCTCCTTCCATGAAGCTGAATTGCAAAGACATCTGAGGCACTGGATATTCGAACTCTTCGGAAAGGTGAAAACGAGCTCAATTAAGCATGACAGAATAGGCTAACAACAACCGTCATAAGAAGAGACAACAGTTGCGTTTCTCGGCTGCCTCCAGGAACTCGGCCTGTCCTGGAGCCACTTGCCTGAAAACTGCAGTCATTCAAGATCCCAGAAGCACAAGAAGACAGTCTGCCTGGTCCTCTTCACAGGGGTCTTTACAACGAGGAGCCTCTGCCTTTTTGGGATCTGTGAGGCAGAACGAGCCACAAGAAATCTGACTACGCAAGCTGGGCCAAGAAGTTCACGAATTTGGGGTAGGGATCAGATGACAGGTGCAAGGGATATAACAGGCCAAAGCGCAAGGCTTTGCACCACTGCCAGAGACCCACCTGTGTGTCGTCCTCCTGCGGCCTGGTGTCAGTTCATGTGTCTGCATTCGGTCAAGAGTAGGGTGAGGCAACTTGACAGAAGCACACGTCTGGGACGGCGAAGTTGTCGTGCTCCCACAGTCAAGCTTCTCTGAGGCGCCTGGGCGATGCCTCAGCCGGAGGCGTGACGGTCTCCGAGAGTTCGGCGCTGCCGAGCACCTCCTCGGGCAGGGAAGCCACCCGCTCCTCGAGGCTGCACTGTGAAAGCAAAGGCCCATGTGGTGACATGTGGTGACGCTCGCCAAACAGCTGGCCTCTGCATTGTCAGCATCCGCCTCCACGATCCGCCACCGATGCCTCGTGTGCCTCAGCTTGCGGCTTTCAATCACATCAATCACTGGGGCTCCACGATCTCTCGTAACCGGCCGCGATTTCTGCATCCCAACATCTGTGCACTAGACACCGACGACTCCGCACGAACCGTACATCGTCCGACTCAGCCCCGAATCGTTCTGGAGATCCTAAATCGCGGACAAACAACGCTTCACAAGAGGTTGCATCACGAGCGTGATGCAGGTATGGCAACCCGCCTCTATACATGTCGGCATGTTTGTGACTTGACCCATATCAGCATCTGCATTCGGAGAAGTGGCGCGACGTGAAGACGAATAGGCTCCGTCGGGCTTGGCAGGGAGAAGCGACGAACATCGCGGCTACCCCGCCCTGGCAATGTCGAAGGGCCCGGATTGTCCAGATCTAGTGGGTCTTGATAATCAACAGGGGCAGCCACATGATCGAAGTTCCACCATGCCGTCTCTGCAACAAGCTAACCCTCGACCCTCAACCACTTAAGAGACACACGAGGCAAAATGATTGGTTTTAGACCGCGGGATCTGGCGGGTGCGTCATCGGCTTGAGTCCGAGTGTGTTTCATCGGTGTCAGTCCCCTTCAAACACGTTCGATCGAGCAAAAATCAGTTCTCACGGAAAGGATCCTGTGCTTGTGATGGCTGGGAAAGATACCAGGGACCGAAGTCAAGTGAAAGAGTGGCAGATGGAACACCGGTTGTTAGAGTTCCCAACGAGGGTCCCCGCAAGCTGCAATATCCGGAAGTCACAGCAAGAAAGGAACTCGAGGTTGTGTGGAAGATCTTCGTAGACGTGGTTTGGGCAGCACCACCGTCGCCTAGAGAACGATCAAAGCTTGCTGTAGCTGCATGGCCTTACTCACATTGCTAGCAACCTCAACACCGGACAAGCGCGCTCAGGTGCAGTGCCGAATCTGGGAGATGCGTGGAAGCGCACAAACAAACAAACACACACACACACACATGAAAACAAGAGGGAGATCCCAGTGCCAGCACTCGTGTTGCTTTGACATTCTGCCTGTGCGCTGCATCGGTGCAGGGCCCAACTCCACGTGCGCATCGAAGAACCTGTGCGAAGGAAAAGGCACGAGCTGCGTGACGCTCCAACCAGATTGCTATCCCAACTGGCCGACCTGCTTCCCAGACTCACGCACGCATCACCACGTTGGCGTGCGGCTTCCAAGAGTCTACTCACCTGCCGAGAAGGAAGGTTTGAAAATGAAAAGTTTAACATGTCTCATATTTTTGCTGGCTTTTCACTGGAGTTACGACGATTAAATTGGCTTGACATCTTCATCATCCTCGCGCCACGCTGCTCGCGCACATGGGATGCCAGTCACCAACGTTCAGCGGTAACGTGCCTCCTTCGGGTAAGGAATGATGTTGCCGCTCCGCGGATCTATTGAAATCCACAGCAGCCACGTCAGATTAGAAGGCGCAAGGTTCTCAATTTGGCTGCCACGAGCACGGCCTGCAAATGGAAAGCCAAGCACGACTGACACTCTATAACGAGGGCAGGACATCAGGATGATAAGGCTTGGAACAGCTCACAATTCCTAAGTTCCTTAGTGCTTCCAGGGTGCTCTCCAGCGCGTGCCAAACTTGATTGAGGCACTGGAAGAGTCCTAAGCATTTCTCGAAGCCTAAGAGATTCTAAGAGTCTAAGACATGCCTCCAGGCCCCCCTTTGCTTCAGGACCGAGGATCGCCAGGGATTTGTGTCCGGCAGAAATGGCTGTCCGGCTTCCGCTGAGCCATGGCGCAACTTTCGGCAAGCCAGGCCCATTGCCTCACAGTGGTTCAATCTGTGCTGGCCTACAGCTTGATCCGAAAGTCACGAATACTCATCTCACACCTTTGATGCGTACCTACTCATGGCGCACACACACACACATGGTTTTCCTGTATGAGCCCTTCCTGTCAAGCCTCTGCTAGGAGCATCCCAAACTCCCAAACTAGCCCATTCCGTGCAGGTTGCACGACTCAGCCGCTGTCACTGCCTGCCACCGAGGATGCGCTCGAAGTGCCGCCGTGCCGGTGATGGGCGGAAGTGCTGCCGCGCCTAGGGGATGCTAAGCCCGCAAAAGGAGGAGGAGGAGGAGGAATCTTGTGCTGGCGAAGCCCCTGCCCAGCTACAAGCTTGAATGTTTCCGACAATGAATAAGCTTGTGTGTAGCATCATGCTGCTGTGACGGCTGCTGTGGAATCCTGCGACAGCTTCGCACTACTTTCCAATAGCCGAAATCCGTCTAGCTTCCAGAAGCATGCGGCAACTACTGTCCAGCGGCATAGTGCACAGCACGATTGTGTCAGTCAAAGTGCATAGTAAAAGATGGGCGACACCTCTGTATGACCCTTAGTAGACAG